TTCCCCTGCTGCTACTGCCAGAAGAGCTTCCGCAAGCTGCACCAGCTGAAGACGCACCAGCGCACGCACACCGGGGAGCGGCCGTACCGCTGCCAGGAGTGCGGCAACAGCTTCGTGCAGAGCGCCCACCTCCGCCGCCACCTCCTGACGCACAGGAAGAAGATCCGCTGCCTGGTCTGCAAGAAGGTCTTCGGCGCCGTCGGCGACCTGATCAAGCACCGGCAGGCCCACGCGCAGAAGGGGATGCTGCAGTGCCCCGAGTGCCCGCAGCAGTTCAGGTACCCTTCCTTCCTGCGCCGGCACCTCCGCGCCCACCAGCGGCGGGGCCCGCTGGAGTGCGAGGTCTGCGAGCGGAGCTTCGGCGGGCTGGAGCAGTACCACCGGCACCTGGACAGCCACCGGGGGCAGACGGAGTTCACCTGCGCCACCTGCGGCGGCGTCTTCGGCAGCCTCCGGGCCCTGAAGCTCCACCGCAACTTCCACGCGAGCAGGCGCCCCGGGCAGCACCGGTGCCGCTACTGCGGCAAGCTGTACAGCTCCTCCGGCACGCTCGCCCGGCACGTGCGCATCCACACCGGGGAGAAGCCCTTCCGCTGCTATGGCTGCGGCCAGCGGTTCGCCCGGCAGGAAGCCCTGAAGGCCCACGGGCCCAAGTGCCCCGGTCCGCCCGCGGACCCGCCGACGGGCCCCCGCAGGGGCGAGCCGGAGGGGAGAGGGGCGGACGAGCCGTTCAAATGCAGGTTCTGCCCCAAAACCTTCAGCTGGGGCAGCAGCTTGTACAAGCACCACATGAACCACAGGGACAAGGTGATCTTTCCCTGCTCCAAGTGTGGCAGGTGCTACAGTAAGCTCTGGCTGGGGGCCCACGAGCGGTCGTGCGAGGGGCCCCAGGCTGAGGCGGACGGCGCCGCCCCGCCCGCCGGGGGGGTCACCTACTCCTGCGGGGGGTGTGGGCGCTGCTTCAGCCAGAAGGACAGCCGGGACATCCACCAGGGGCGCTGCCCGGCCTTCGCGCCTGATCCCGGGCCTCGGGGGAGGGAGGAAGACCGGAAGTTCAGGTGCCGGTACTGCCCCAAGTCCTTCATGTGGCCCAGCAGCCTGACCAAGCACCACCTGAACCACAAGGACAACGTGGTCTGGCCCTGCTCCAAGTGCGGGAGGTGCTACAAAAAGGTCCGGCTCACGGCCCACGAGAGGTCCTGTGACGGCCCGCAGCCCGGCGCGGCCCCGACCCCCCCCGCCAACGCCAACGCCAACGCCAACGCCAACGCCAACGCCAACGCCAACGCCAACACCTGCAGCAAGTGCGGGCGGCGCTTTGCCAGGGTGTATTACCTCAACGTCCACCAGAGCAAGTGCAGAGGCCCCCGAGCCCCCGGGCTCCCCGCCGAGCCGACCGCGGCGGCGGTGCCGGCGATCTCCGAGGACGGCGCAGCCGAGGAGGAGGAGGGGGAGGGGGAGGGGGAGGGGGGAGAGAAGAAGTTCAGGTGCAGCTACTGCCCCATGTCCTTCGCCCGGCCCGGCAGCCTAGAGAAGCACCACCAGAACCACCGGGAGAAGAAGGTGTTCCCCTGCTACAAGTGCGGCCAGTGCTTCAGGAAGGTCTGGCTGGGCGCTCACGAGCGAGCCTGCTCCTTCCTGCAGGCCGGCGGCGCCTC